ATTTATTTCCCATTTTTTTTAGTCAAGCCGATGTATATGAGCTGCTATGTGGATCTAACGATGTATGAAGTTTTTGATATTCTGTGGTGGTCAGTTCACAGCAGTGATAGAAATTAATCTACCAATAAGCTTAAATATATATATTTTTTTACCTTTTATAAGAATTTTTACATTTTTACATTTAAAAAGCCATTTTTCTTAAAAGTGTGCATCTTTTTGAGTCAAATTCTTGCATATAATTTGTCAATTAGAATAATGAGACATTTGGGCTGTTACCAAGCAAATGGTATAAATATAAACAAAATTAATCTTTGCAATGCAGAGGAAACACAGAAGCTGCATCTGGAATGGCATTTAGATGTCACGCTGTTTAATGCAGCTCAGAGGGACATGGGATGCTTTAACCTGCAGTTACAAATGCATAGATAATGTTTTGATATTTTAAACAAAAAACGTCAAATACTGACATTTGAAATTATTTAAAAAATGAAAAGAAACGAAACACCGTCATGTTGCTCAGAGATATGGAAATAAAAGCGTCAATAAGTAACTGACTAATAAATAACTGAACTCAACCTCATAATAAACATTTGTTTTTGTAATAGGTTAAATTGGCATCACACAACAGCCAACAGCATTTCCCATTTTTTTTAGTCAAGCCGATGTATATGAGCTGCTATGTGGATCTAACGATGTATGAAGTTTTTGATATTCTGTGGTGGTCAGTTCACAGCAGTGATAGAAATTAATCTACCAATAAGCTTAAATATATATATATATATATATACTGACATTTGAAATTATTAAAAAAATGAAAAGATACTTTAAATGTGAAATTTAAACCACCAGTAGGTGGCAGCAAGTCACTGTTAATAAGTGAGTCGTTGCGATTGAACCAAATCATTTAAACGGTTGATTCATTCAGAAACCAAACACTGTCATGTTGCTCAAAGACGCAAAACAGTGCTGTGGCTTTGTTTGGAGTTATTTTTGTTGTCAAAATAGAGCAAAAACAGGCAATATGGTGTCTAAAACTTAAGTTTCTTAATTAACTTTTTGTTTATTGAACTGTATCACATAATTTTAATATCACATTTGAAATCATGTTGATTTTTGGAGAAAAGAAACGACATTGATATATAAATGATATATAAACTATATTAAATGATATAAATTTATAAATTTTCTGCTCCCATATCTTGAATTTTGTGA